GTAGTAGTTCTGTTCACGCTTTTGACATAATAGCCCCTCCGATTCGTCTCATTCTGGCTGGGATAGGGGGACCGATGTTATTGATCCATCTGCAGCTGCCTGAAGGCCGTGGCTGCCGGGGAAGATGAAATCCACCTGCTGACATCTGCTTCCTGAACTACAGAAGCCTGTAGCACACATCTCAACTGCTCAAATGTCCCTTTGCCACACAATTTCAGCCTGATGCAGTTTTAAAAGGGTTGTCTAATAGAGTTTTGATTCTTATTGTACTTACTTTTTCAATCGGACCTCTATGATGAAATGGAAATGTAGTGTTACTGTTCATATAGCTTTCTATCAGATCTTTTAGTTTGAGATTACCGGTGCATAAGATATGCATGACATTTTGCACTGCTCTGCAAAGTTGTATGGGTAGCTAAAGCAGCCCAAGAAATAAACTCCTGGAGACCCATGAAACCTCATGGGATATCCGTCACCTTATCCTCAAAAAGACAGGGCTGTGTTCTCACAGTAGTCTAAAAGAAAAAGGCACATCAAATTAGAGAAAATGTTGTTACAGTCATAGGTTTTGCTAGTTCTAAATCATAGTGGCAGTCATTCTCTTCCAGCAGTCATCACTCCATGAATATATGTAAATCATATTGTAAAGCAGGCAAATGTGCTAAACAGAAAAATGTGAAAGGATGGAAAAGGCTTAATTAGATGCAAAACTTACTGATGTGAATAATTGAGAGGTATCGGGAACAGCAAAGACAATTCCAGTGATTCTTTTTTCTCCTTTTGGGGAATTATCATTCTCCGTACTTCTCCTCCTTAGTGCTTAGGTTATGATGAATGCAAGTGTCACCTCTGAGTAGGAGACTAAAGAGCCAAGAGCCAGCCTGTTCCAAGCAGCTGCACAGACCAAGTCAGCTGTGGTGGTTAGGGTTTATCAATGCAACATATTCTCTCAGAGACTTCTTCGTCAGCTTATATCTTCGTGAAGATTAGCAAGATATGCTCTTGTCATTACAGGTCCTGTAGGGGCAAAACTGAAAAAGTAGCATTTTTACTCAAAGCCTGAATTTCTAAAACTAGTTTCCAATCCATCCTCTCAGTCATACTATGCTCTCAGTGAAATGTATGTGCAGCTTTAAAATCATCAACAACCAGTACAATTCCATGGATATCGAGTTAAAACAGCAACTAAGTGATGAATGTTTGGCATTTCAGGAAAATCTACAAATGAACAAGAGGATACAACAAAGGAAAATATTGAAGCAATCTCCACGGTCAGCATGATCTTATGAGAGTGGGTAAATGTTGAAATATCACCGTTGGAGGTTGTGCCCAAGACCTGACCTGCGTCATTATCATCTCATTGGATAAAGATACATTTGTGATTGGACTGCACCACTAAAGTGCTAATGTCAAGTGTGATAAGTTTTGACACGTTAACACTGTTGTCCGTATGGTTGATCATTGCCCTGATCCAAATTTGCAATAATACTCCAAACCCAAAACAAATCATCCAGTAAAAGCAACTCTCATTCATTAGTGATTCCCAAAGTCATTATGGTATATGAAATAACCTGCCAGAGGACAACTTGTAAGGGGACCAATGGGGACCTCTATACTACAACACAGTGGTGATTACACACCTCCTGGCCAATCCAGGACCCTCACAGTTCAGTCATCCCCTCATCTAACCTGAGCGTACTGACACAATGACAACAGTGGCACAGGATCCATGAGTTCACATCAGGGTGAAATTGATCCGAGCAATCAATCTCACCCAGTGAAGACATCGGCACTGCTACTGCAGCAGAACAGAAGCCTAGTGCTGACCAGTGCTTTGCCTTGTCTGCTACATATCTATCTTTAGGCGGGAGCTTAGCGTGGGATCAATATAGTACAGGAGGCTCATATTTCACTGATGGCCCAGCAGGGAGGCAGACGAAAACAGTAGGAAAAGATGGGATGATGACATGGCTTTGCAACACTTCCCGTATTCAGTCCAGAGGAGAAGTAGCATGGAGCAGAAACGGACTGCAAGCAAAAGGTGAAGAAAGCAGAGCAAAGTTTTGGGTGTGACGTAGGACTCAATAGTGCAGCAGAGGCTTGGAAGCAACATGGACGGTGGCACAGCCTGACAGCTTGTCGATTCAGTGAATTTATAATGGATGTTCTTTTATTCCTCACTTTCTCTCTAACCTTTCTCCTCTCCTCTCTTTATCTCACCTCCCTTCTTTCCCCTCCACTTGTCACCTCCCTCCTCTCCCTGGGTTTAGGCATCGCCACCCCTCGCCCGGCGCACACTGTCACTGACTCGTGTAGCCTTTCATCCAGGGAATAAAAACAAAGAGTTATATGAAAGGTGCTTAGTTGCATTTCCCTTTAGCCCTGCTGTTGCAGTGTCCTAACGATGCAAATGTTATTCTGGCTAATGAGCAGGAGCTATGTTCGGGCTGAAGTTTACCACCCTGCTTGACCAGCTTGTCTCATGAATAAAAACGCTGTGTCAGAGTCAAGATGTGTGTTCCTCTCCGCTCACAAATAATCACCTGTATACAGATGGCTTCGGAAACAACATACAAGGGAAAAAAAGACAGTTGTTGGTTTGCCGCGGGCGTCTTAAAGAAATAAATTGGCCTTTATCATGAAAACAAATCAAAACAATTCAAATGTAAACACCTGCCCTGTCCGAAACACAGTTTCTGCCCAACAGGTAGAAAAAATTTAGAAAAACTTCAGCTGGCAGACCTTCTCACCTATGCAACTCGTCTAACCTTTTGACTCCGAGTTCACACCGACTGTCAAATACACACGCCTCCAAAGGAAAGGAAAACCAAAAGATGTCGGCTCTGTTATTACAATAAACCTTATAGCTGCTTGCCTTTCACTCCCACCCCACCTCGTGGCTTAATCCTTCGTGCTTTTGCCCTTCAGTTTTTCAAAGGCAGCCTGCGGGCTAGAATTGCCCTTTGCTGACTTGTGGCTGACAGTGAATAAGTTCCCCTCTCGTCTCCTCCCTTTTATCTCTGAGATCATACTCTGAGTGGGTCAAGATCAATGGTGCTCCTTGCAAATCTGCCCAGACTCTGGGTGCTTCTCATTGACCTCTGCGCTGGGGTAACTCCTACTCTCATCCATACGGCTTTTGCATTCACTTCAATGGATCAATTCAGATGCTACACACAGAGATTTCATCAAAAAGTCATGGGCCGCGTTGGCGCAGACCATTTTCTGATCCATAAAAAAGTTATACTCGCTCTCTAACTGTAAGCTGCCCTCCAGACATGAATCAGGTTGAAGTCACTCAGGAGCAGATTAGGTAAAGCTGACGAACAGCTTGCAAGTGTTAAAAGGTGAAATTTTCATCACCACCGTACTATGCAACAGTCTTGAACTTTCTTGTAATCTTTTAAAGTTCAAAAAGGCACTTATGTAAGAACCGCTGAAAGGCCTAAAACAGCCAAACAAAGGGCATGTCTCATTTTACACTGCAAACATGTCAAGACCAATGCAAAAAGAAGAAAAGAAAATCAATTTCAGGTAAACCCAAAATGAATGTATTCTGTATTGGCTGAGATAAAGCACAGCTTAACTCTGCCATGGGGACCAGTTGTGATATAGAATAACCGGCGTTTGGGAAAGAAAGAAGTGAACGACATGAGTGAATGAAAAGCGGGGACAAAATCCTCACATTAATTCTTGGAGCAAATCCCTGCATCAAGACAATGGAAGGTGAGGCACAGTAAAAGTGACGCTGCAGGCGTCCTCGGGCCCCGTACACATCGAGGAGCAGAATCAGTCCAGATCCAGCTGGGGCTCACATTCAGCGAGATCCCTGTGAGACCCGCTTCAACAAGATGGATGGTGGGCACCGAGCCTCTAACTGGGCGCACTCAGCCCAGACATCATTGGGTCTGGGCTGAATAAAGAGGTGGCGCCCCCTTGCCTGCTCTCCTCTAATAGGAGCCGCTGCCTGGCTGACAGCAGCCCATAAATAACAACGTCTGCTCGTCGCTGGAAAAGAACACTCTCACCTCAACACACTCATTCTGAGGTATCTCAGGGGAGAGGGGAGATGCAATAATGTGAGGCCTTAAAGTTATGCAAAAGACAACACGAGTGAGCGAAGGGAGGTCACAGGAATATATTATTTTTCCATTATTATCTTGTCTGCTCCTCCTGGTTTTCAGCTTTGATAAGTCACGTGTGTTCTGGAGCGCTTGGGACCACACCCTGCATTTGTCATCAGGAATAAGTAGAATATTTACGTTGCACATGAAGGGTGTTCATCGTGATAAAATCTGGTTAAGGGAATAGTTAAGTGAAGGTATTTTGGAATGAGAACCAATTACCCATTTATCCACAGAGTTTTATGGTCACTGTATGACATTTTCTTTAAACGTGAGCTTAAAAGGACTTCACTAAAGGTACAACATAAAAAGACTCACAAGCTGTGTTACAATTTAATGCACACTAACAAAGAAAAGAGTAGGCCAATTCAACCAATGAAAGTTGTATTGTTCTTCTGCGATATAATAAATTATCATTATGTTGCTGCCGTGATACTTGAATGCAGACAGACTAACTGATGCAATTAAAACATTTTTGGCAATTTTCTAACATACATGCCGTACTCTTTCTTAAATATATTTAGCTCTTTGTTACAGCCTCTTGCGATAAAACAACACTATGCATAGTGTCAGGACTCCGTGACCAGTCTCAAGTCTTGTTTTATATCTTTTTTTATTCTAAAGAGCGATTAGGAGCTCGTTCTGATGCATTTTCTTTTCAAATGATATCCCTTTCGCACAGACGGTACGAGTTAGAGACACCCCGTAGAGGTTGAAGACGCGACCGTCCTACGTCATGACGCTACGCGGAAGTAATTCAGCAAAGATGGCTGCGTCCTTGACAGGCATGATTTGGACTGGGTGAAGAGAAAAATACACACAACATGAGTAAACTCACGGACTGCTAAACTGCCCAGGAAATCTTGTGAGAGGAATATGGAGAAACGGGAGTTCGTCGCGTCTCTGGTGGTGAGCTCTGGTAGCTTTTTTTTTTTTAACTACAACAAGCTACATAAAGGATGCTCAGCCAATTGGTTCATTCCCCCACGATTGAACACAGTTCATGTAACCGTTGTTTTTTATTTATATTTATTTATAGTAAACTGACGTTAAGTCAAAGTCAAGACATTCGCAGAGGTTCGAGTCCTACACTTTTTAAACACAGTCGACAAATGTTTATTCTTATAAACGATTTGGGCTTCACTATCCCTTTCAAATAATGGTATAACTGAGTTTAAGGGGTGACCAACCATCATTTATACGTCCTCTTTACTTAGTTTTAGTGTATGGATGACAAGGAGGATGGAGGTGGCATTAAGGAGGAAACAATGTAGTTTATTTCAACCCGTTTCATTGAAGTGACAGAGCTTAATATACAGAGGTTTATAGAGGGAATTCTGTCCAGCTTCTGCACACCTGATTCAGATCAAACTGATCACTTCTAAAGGTGTTTCAGCTCTGAACTGCTGATGTGTTGATGTGAATCAGGTGTGTCGAAGCAGGGAAACCTCTAAAACCTGCAGGACAGGGGCTCTCGAGGCCCGGAGTTGCCCACCCCTGGCTTAAAATCAAAACATTTTTAAAACAAAGAACCACATTTTTTCTAAACGTTTTTATTTTGAGTGTGTACTGACCGTGCGTTGCATAGAGGTAACATAACAGGTAGGATAATTGTAAACTTAAACTTTGTAATGGGAACATTTCTGGGTCAGATTAATATAATATCATATCTGATTTGACTGTAGGTACGAGAATTTTACGTGTTGGTGTACTCTTTTTTTTTTCTTTTCCCTAGTTTGTCTAGGTCCCCGGAAATTGTAAGGTTCTCATAAGCACTATGTAACTGAGTCTATTATTTATATTGTATTGAGAAGTTGTGATAGAAATCTGAAAACTATAGAAATATGATATAAGAATATGTATTTGTTTTTTGTTTTCTTGTTTTGGAGAAAAAAGGTCTGATATTGCTTAGGGACATGGAAACAGATGTATGACCCAGAAAAGAAAAACATTGTTTTTTTTTTTTGTTTTTTTTATATATGAGCCTCCAAACCATGACTCTATGAAATGTGCCAGCAATGATTGATAATCCTAATGTGTGTGTATATATAATTTCCCTTCTGGAAGTATTAGCAGTAGTTTTGTGTGGGTGTTTGTTCCCCTTTGGTGTCACCTGCCATGTAGTTAAATATGTGGTCATGGACATGTCAGTTTTTTCCACCTTTTTAAAATGTCACTATGTTTACTCCAACTGAGAAAGGAAACACATAGTTGTTTATGGCCTGTGGCTGGAGTACTCTCCCAAAGAGAAAATGGCATGGTGGGAGGACATGCTCTTAGCTTTTTACAGTTCCAAAGTTGCATGACAACTCATCACCACATGCAGATTTTAAATCTTGGCAACTAATCAGTGAAAGAAGAGCATTTGGCCTCTGAATACTCTGATTTCCCACACCTATTTGGGATCTAACTGGAGATTAGTTTAGCGTTTTGTCTCACATTGTGCCTTTGCAGGCAGGTGGCTGTGCGGGGATGTGTGTGGATCTGACATTGTTCCCCCTGGACACCATTAAGACCAGACTGCAGAGCCAGCAGGGCTTCTATCAGGCTGGGGGCTTCAGGGGCATCTACGCTGGGGTCCCATCTGCTGCTGTGGGCTCCTTCCCCAACGGTAAGACGCTCACAATGATTCCTGAATACATGGAAAGTGTGCCATTAACTGTCATTTGTGATGATCTGCACTAATAAAAACTGAACGGATCCAAAGGCATCTTTCAAAGAAAATAACCTCTTACCAGATGTGAAGCATGATTTTGGAATGTTATGACTTGCAACCTTTCTCAGAGAGTGGCCATCTTGCAGCCATAAGTCCATCCTTTTACTCTGCATCCTATTCCAATGCTTCATGGCAACAACCATTGAGGATTGATATTTTTAAGATAAAACGGCAGCAATTTAAAGACATTACCTTGAGACTGTTTAAACACATAGTTTTATTCAATTCTAACAAGAATATAGCAGTTACTGACCTAAATAAGACTGCTGCTGGCTTCAGAATAAGCCTGAACTTGTGTTTTCTTTTAAGGCAATGACTCACAGACAAGAGTATCTACCAAAAGGTTTGTTTTTGTTTTAAAGTGTCTTCCAAATACAGTTGAAAACAGAACAATACATACAAATCATCTTGTATTGAGCTGGAGAACGCAGTGGCATTTTGATGATCAACTGGCCATTCAGCAATTTGCTGTTTATTTCTACTGACTACTTAATGAGTCGGTATGACTAATTCTGATACCGTTCCAAAAGTATATAAAGAAAAAAGAGATATTGGAGTAATTTCCCATTAGTACAGGCATTTCTGAGGAGTTATATCGGTGTGACTCAGAAATGCTTGAAGCCTCTCCACACAAGGCTGCAGCTTTCAGAGCCATTGCCAGAGCAGGAGGACTGTCTTACACACAGTCACACACAGCTCAGGTTCTCTCCTGTCAGCCTCAGTGAGGGATATTAATTGCTCTATGCTGGTTGACTAATGGGCCTTAAATGGCTGTGGTTCTGCTTGGTTTCAGCTGCTGCTTTCTTTGTCACCTATGAGTGCACAAAGTCCCTGCTCGGCGCCGGTGGAGCTGTGGCAGCACCTCACGTGGCACCTGTCGCTCACATGCTGGCCGCCTCCCTGGGGGAAATCGTAAGTGCTCTTAGGCCTGCTTCTCCTGTCTTTTGTCCTCTCATTTGGCTTCTATTATTTTTTTTTCACTCCACCAGTGCACTTTTTAAGTTATTTTTATTTCTGCTGGCCCCAATCGTTCCCAGAACTCCCATCTTTAGAGGGTCAGCTGTCATGCGCACTTGTTGTTGCTCCTCTGTCGTCCTGGGCCTGTCGTTTCTTTCCCACCGCTGTATGTATCCCAAGCGAACATCACTGTCACGCACATTAATGTTTCTGCCTTTTGAATTTCACAGACTGCTTTTCAAGGGGGCAGCAGGGGACGGGGAGTGGGGGTGTGGGTTTTGGCTGGAGGCCTCAGGGGTCCAGCTGGGTGAGTTAAGGGAGCTTCCTCACAACCGTTCCAGTATTTTCCCCTCCAGCTGGGTAAATAAGATCTCATTACTGCCTATTGACTCATCTACTTTCCCAGCGCAGACCCCTAGACTCTGCCAATTTATTCGGAGGAATTGAGGCTTGAAACCAATGACGAGCTGCGCAATTTCCTCAGCCCGTCCTGTCCCAGTCTCTTGAAGCGAACCACAGGGTTTGAGCCGCATGGAGGCCCCTGGTATTCACATTGGCTTGAAGGGGGGTATGGAGATCAGGACTACAACCCAGGCTGCAAGATCCTCTGTATTCATGGATTTTGGATGATTTTATCCATGTTTAGCATGTCCATGAAATGGCATTATTCCACATGGGAGGATGCTTACTGTATTTGAGTTTGTCTCCATCTTTGGGCCTCACAGTGTTCAGTGGAGGACAGTAGCTCTCTCTCACATTTGCATAGTATCAGCAGTGAGCAATGTTTGGTTCCGATGCTATTTCACTTACAATCAGCTACTGCAGTAGTGTATCAGCTTTTGTCTGTAGCAGAGGCCAGAAGAGTGTGAAAGGTGAGGCGGAGGTTGTTACTGCTTTTAACCCCGCTCTGGATTTGAGCACATCAAAGGCATAAACCAGAAGAGTTGGGCTGAGCAGAGCAGGGGCGGTATCCCACTGCATCCCGGCAACTGAGATCGTCTCGTTCAAAAGGGCCTAATCTTCAGGCTTAGCCGTGAAGGACTTGCCCTACAGCTGCCCTGAGTTTTATGAGGGGCCTAAACACCTGCACCATGATGCAACAACTCCCAGCCGCCATTCTGCCTCTCCTCAGTCATCGCTAATGATTTTTAATTCCAAGTTATTTCACTGATCTGATCAGTGGTCTCGCAGAATATACCTTTAGTTTCATGCTTTTACAGGTAGTGCGTTTGTTGGGAGTTAATGGCATGCTTGCCGTTCGTGTCTCGTCTGTGTACCGTGTTTCTGTATTATTCATGCTGGGTGGACCCGTGTGGGCATGAGAACGGCATCTCTTCAGTATAGTTTGGGAATACGTTTAGATAATGTCCCCTTTTGTCCTTTAAAAGTACATAATCATGCAGGGCCAGACCTGTCCATATAAGGTTTATCAGTTGATAGTGTATTTTTGAGTGAAGTGCGAAGCACCAAGGCAGGGTTTTGTTAGCAGAATAGAGCCTGCTAACAAAACTTGGATGGAAAAAAGGGCCATAAGGGTTGTTCATATTGGACGCTGGGCTCATATTGTTATGAGGAACCAGAGCAATAAATAAAAAATTTCTTACCTTTTCACTGTAGCTGCTTGTTCCTAATCTTATACATACCCAGGGTTAACATTGTGTAGCCCAATGGAAAAAAGCCATATGGGTATAAGTTCTGCTTAAATGCACATGAAGTAATCAAAGGTGACCAGAAGCCTTTAGTTGTATGTATTGCCAGTGGTCACCATGATTGAGTTCCTTTGTCTAAACTTCCCTTACTACGTCCTCATCGTCCCATGATCCTAATCCTCATTTAGTTTTAGTCTGCCAAGTTTCCACTCTATGACATTAACAACAGATGCTTCACAGGACTTATTTTTTTCATAATTTCATTTGTACTCCTCTCTGTGCCAATAACGTACCAGACTTAATTTTTAACTTCCTTGACGTGCCTTAAGAGTCATGATTATACCAGAGGAAGCTGGAATTCAGAGTTCAACCTACAGGAAACATGATTTATAAACTGTAAGAAAGCCTGTCCACACCAAATGCGATACCTGGGCATGAGGTGTAGACTGTAGGAGGTCGACATGATCTCTTAATGGAATCAGATCCAAAATAGAATAGACAGACACAGTTTAGAAGAAAAGAAACGGAAACAAATTGGTCTAGAGCTCCTTAGGTCGATTAGTCTTGTCGCCTAAGGGGCTGGTTTCCAGCTGTTACCCAATAATTGATAAGTATTTATTGCAAGAAATGAAAAGTTCAAGTGCTTATGATGGACTTTGTGGGACGCTTGGATCTCAGTTGGGCAAAAAGCATAGGTTGAAGCAAAATGGGACATTTCCTACAGCCCTTCGATGCCACGCTTAAACTGTGCCGACTGATCCCATTACGGTTGTGTAAAGCCCGGCCTCGCTTGCAAACAAAGGCAGGACAGCAAAGAAGACGGTCGGAAGTTGGAGGGAGAACGAGCCGACGGGAGAAATCCTCCACCTTTCCACTCCAGAGGGGTCTGGTGCGACTGCAGATGTGGGACGCCCCTATAAAGAATGTGTAAGCTGATGGCGTCTGTCAGGCTCTAGCAGGCTGTTATCTAGCCATTAGATCAGATTTATCTTCATTCCCATTCGCTCGACGTCTGCCCTGAAAGCTCATTTGTCAAGGCCAGGCAGCGGGCTCCCTCGAATCCACCCCCCCACCCCACGTCTGCAGGAGGATGTTCAACAAAATACAGCATGACGTGACATGATGGGGGGGACGGTGAGAAGGTGGGGGCACAAGTGGGGAGTGTTTTTGGGGGAGAAAATGGCAACCACTTAACGTGGCATTGAGAAATAATCCAGGGATCGCCTTTGAGCAGCTCCACGCTCTGTGATTTATCGGCTGTTGTTTCAGAGTTGGAGCCTCGCAGTGTCCTCATCCCATCCCTTCTTCCTCATGACCTTTTCCCGCCCTCTCCTCCTACCTGCCGCCTCGGCCGTCTTTGTCGTCGGAGTTAGTTTTGGCGCTGCTGTGAATTTCAAAAGAGGGAAGTGTAAGCAATCCCTTGAGCACCTCATCAGAAAAAAAGGATTCAGTAGGAGTGTGGTTATTGGTTTTTGAATGGTCATAATCATTAAAAGTTATTTCCCTGCAATCCTATTTCGGATGGTAGTAAGTGGTAAAAGATGGATAGAGAAAAGGAAGAGAGGATGGACAGATTTAGAGACTTCGTCTGAAGACTGATTGATTGGAGTTTCTGCTAATTTCCCGTTCCTAATGCGATCTGCTGATCATTGAGCGACAGCTTGTTAACAACAACCCATAGTGATTGAAATCATGCTTGCTTTTTTAACATTGGGACGAACAGCAGGTAAGTGAAAGGTGTGTCCTTTAGGTAGGCATCTCCGTAATGAAGGCCTGCCCCACCAGTCCAAGAGCCTGTAAACAAAGATGAAGGAGGGCAGAAATTGAACAGACTGCCAAGTTTCCCACACTGTTTTTATTTGTTTTTATCTCCCTCCTTTTCAGCTGTTTGCATGCATCTGAAATCCTCTCTCAGGCTCTGGGTGTGTGTTTGTGCTTTTCTTTTTTCTTCATCAATAAAATTCTTCTCAACCCAAGGTGCATGAATGACTCCTGAACAAACAAAGCCTCCGATGTATTTGCAATAATCTTTGAATCATTCTTGCTTTCCTCCTGCAGTAACAAGCGTGGGCGTCTTCAGCCCCAGCTCTCTGAACGAGCTCGCCGGTAATTGCTTGTCATAGCCACTTTATTTTCTCGTAACTGCCCTGTTATGCCCATTCTTGTGCAGTTGGTTTGTTGTAAACATGATGAACGGTGCATAACGCATGGTATCTAGATCCAAGTTGTGGACAAATGAAATCCAAGCCTTGAGCACAGCTGCTATTTGATGAAGATATGGGGCAGATGCGTGTTTTGCCACTTGGGGACAGTGTTGCACCGTGGTTAGGTTACACCTCAGAGGATGTTTTTAAGAGCTACAATGAATTCCTCAGGAAGACTCATTTGCTTATTAAAAAAATGTTATAGCTCCAATTTTCAGATCTGGAGGGTTATGTGTTAACTTTGCATTAAAAAGGAGGAAGAAGGTTCACCATTCAGCAGAACAATTCCTCAGTAAAGGTGGACACAAAGTTTGGAAATTGGCAAAATCAGTTGTCAGTGGGAATTATCCTTGTGTAATATTTGCTTTCTGGATGTTATCTTTTATTTCAGCTTGTTCTATGACTTTACTTTCAAGTATCCTAATGTGCCTTTTCCGTTTTTTGGGGCTCTCTATACGTATGCATTCCCGACTGGAAAGTTCCCCTTTTCGAGGATGAGAGAGAGGACAAGTGCCCATCTGAAACGATTCCTCCACCAGCTGCCCGGGTGTCCTCCTCTCCCTCACAGCCACACAACCGTATGCTGGGGCCCTCATGCTAAATCAGTACGGATAGCCGGCTGAAGAGGGAGCAGCAGAGGGGGGGAAAAAGATGCATTTCATCTCATTACTCCCTCTCTTTGTCCCTCCCCACTTGATGGTGTTGTGGTGAGGGTGGCACCCGCAGACGGGCATCTGCGCGACTCGAGGGAGTCACAGGGGGAGGGCGGCTCACCAACCACTTTCTAAGATTGCTTGCCGTTCGCTGATATTTCCACTCCGATGCTGGATAAATGGGAAATCAAGTCGCCAGGTGGGCAGCTGTGCCTGCCTGTCTGCCTTTAGGAGGCATAAATATTCATGTCTATCTTCACTTGCTGTTGGCAGTCCATATTTTTGTTGACATATGGTGGATGGGTTGGAACTTGAGCAGGGGAGTGTGGTCACTGAGGTGTGCATGCGTGTCCGAATCTATCAGCGGGTTTGACAGAAGCATGTTCTTTGGACACAGATACAGTCTGCCTGATGACCTTTTCCCAGACATGACAACTGTTGCGGCAGTGTCATTTTGGCTGTGTGTACCCCATTTGTTAATTAGCTTAGTTGCACACTAACTAAAGCAAGTGTTCGCTGCCATCTCTACATAATTGCTTTTTTCAAGCCCTGCCATATCATGGCCACCTGCCATGACAGAAAAGCTTCAAAAGATTTATCAGAATTAACAGCTCTTGGAGCATCTAGATAATATGTTCTCTCACAAAATGATATTAGATGTCCTTTAAATGCAAATGCAGTGACTAGAGGTTGCAGAAAAGCCTTTTTCCCCCACATTTAACCCCCCTTTTCTTTGTAATTTTGCAGGTTGCGTGCTTGATCCGGGTACCCACTGAAGTGGTCAAACAGAGAACCCAAGCCTCTCCTTCATCCAGCACCTACAACGTGCTGCTGGCCACTCTCAGGGAAGAGGTATCTGTCACCCAAAGCCTTCCTGCCTTATGTCACTCTTTAACCTTACTGTTTTCTGTCTTCTTTACTGTCATATCAGTCATGTTACTGCTCCGTCTAGAGTGGAGGCAGCTTGTCAGACTTTGGAGGAATTTCTTCTAAACCCAGATCGAATGACACTCAATCACAATACTTTAAATGTAGTTTCCGGTCATTATTGGCAATGAAAAAATATTAGTCTAAAACTATTTTAAAGGATCACTTGATGTTCGGAACACACGTTTTTTTTTCAGACTGGTTCTTTTTCCTTTCATTACCTCTGACTCTGCTTTAGTTGTTATTTAACTATTGCAAATTGACTTGATCAGTAGTAACACAGTCCTCCAGTTGTTTCCCGGTGCATTGTTCACCCTGTCCTAACTTTTTAAGATGTTTTTTTTTTTTTTTCCTATCAATAGCAAGATGAGAGAACATATTTCCTTAAAAGAAAAATGCCCATCTTTTAGGTTTTCTTTGTTCAATTGTTAATGAAATATTAGTTTTGGGGATTTATGGACATTTTTTGTCAAATTTCATGGATTTGTCATGGATTTGTTTTTGTTTTTCTGCTCAGGGTGTTCGAGGCCTGTACAGAGGATATGGCAGCACAGTTCTCAGAGAGGTAGGATTCATTCAAATACTCTCATTCACCTCATTCTTTTTGCGTGTGACTCACCCTTATTGATGGCAATCTGTCTTTGATGAAGACCACGTTCAATTAATTGTATAGCGTATCATACATAGTCTGTCAAAATCACTTTCATTATTTTGTATGAAAGACAAGTCAGAGATTTCTAAGCCTGAACCTGCACAATTTTTTTTTTTTTCTTTTTAAGCTTTGATGGTTATTGAACTTTTCCACTCTTGTGAATTAAGTCATTTTAATTTTCTTGGGCTTTATTGAAGTTGTACGAATTGATTTGTTGTTTTTTTTTCCCCCCTGACTTTTATCTGAGAAAATTACTTGTCCAAGATGCTTCTTTTAGAAGTACATCTAAAAAATGAATGCAATTAGTTGTGTTTTAAATGCAAAACAAAGCGGACTAAATGAGCTCTGCACTGCACTCCTTGAATGCGAGCTCACCCTTCTCTAATGAAAAAGCCACTCTGCTTCTTTGATTCAGGATCCTTAGTTTAATTGCACCTGCAGTGCGTGATGATAGAAAATAATGGTCGTGAATGTTACCTGTATCTGGGATGTTATTCCCCCTGCCTGCCAAGTTTCAATAGAATTGGAGAAGAAAATGATAAAGGGAGACAGACAGGGAGAAAGAAGTATATGAAGGTGACACTTGTCTTTTTTTAGGGGGGTGTCGTAATCTAGTCCCCCTCTGCTGTGCTAGCCTGTACTTATTTTCTGCCTCACTAAACTGATGTTATTCACGCAAATTCCATCTGGACAGCCGAGGGAAAAAAAAAAAAGGACAACAAGACACTGTGATTTCTCTGAGGGGCTCTGAATAAATGAATACATTTGGAGGCTGGTGCATGGCCTGTGTGCATACTAACACCAGCAGATGAAACGTAACGGTGGCGGCGGCAGGGATTTGGGGTGCAGGAACAGCAAAGGATGCTTCGTAGTGATTGGCTTTGACATGTGTCAGGAAGGTAATTCATTTTCTCTGGGTCTCCTCTGCCATCGGCCTATCTACCTCTTCTGGGCAAGAGACCCTGTCAAGATAAGTTTGTTTATGTGTGTGCAGCGTGGCGCGCCCCCTCCTTGCTGGCCCACTAATTGGGGTCCTTTCTGTGCTATATATTCATTAGCCAGCCTTCAGAAGGCATTTCTGATGGGTATGATATCAAATTAGATCAGATGTAAAGTAAAAGTGGATGTGTGATCCCGCTTCCATAGCAGCGATGTCTTACATCCACATCACTGCACCTGGGTTTCAGCGGCTAATTATACTCAGGACGCCCCATTCAAGCCCTAAGTTTTATTTAAAACTTATATCCAGGCTATTGACTAATAGGCATTCAGTTCTTTTTACTTCTGAACCGCATTAATCTTCATCATGGCGTACCCTTTCCTTTAAAGAAACAGTCAAGTTCTCTGCTGAGTCGGCATCTTTTGTGTTCCATCTGAATAGAGCATGAAATCAATGAGATTCAGATTGGGGGGGAATAAATTTGCGCGGTGGAAAATTACTTTTATTCTCCTCTGGAAACCCAACCCCTCCCCCCCTCCCCCAGAAAAACAAAAACTAGGGCCTTTTAAATTAACATCAGTGAGACCGCTCAGGACATTTGCAGAGAACTTTCACCAGGTGTCCCCCCCTTCCCCCTGAAATGTGTCTTTTGGTGTCTGAGTGTTAATTTGTTTTATTGTGTTATAATACACAGGACAATATTCCAAGTTTAATCAAGACTGATTATATTGTAGTCATATATGATGTTTGTCACTTTGTCAGGGCTCCCCAGTCATCTGCCTGTGAGCTGTACCAGCCGTCACCACTAGATGGCGTGCTAAGATTAGCTCTAATAGGGTCTCTTCCCTCGGTCTCTGAACTTTCCTCCTCTCTTTACTCTCCCTTTCATCATGGCAGCTAACAATCCAACGGTCTGACATTTATGCTCAGCTGCTAGTGACCTGTTATTGGCCAGCTCCTCATTTTCCTTGATCTTGAACACTGTGAGATGATCTCAAGTTTGATCTGAACTGCTACAGTTTGAGTAATGAGTAATGAGCAATGAGCGTGAGATTGGTTATTAGAAAGCAATTTATTAATGTGGTGGTGTGAAAGCTGTAGAATGACAGTTGTAACCGAAACCGACAGCATTTGCATATGCACCTGGAACAATGGATTCCCGGCTCTAACATGCAGCCCCAATGAACACAGATTACTCTCATCACGTTGGAATTTCACAAAAGGCACTTATAGCCCTTTATTGCTTTCCCAAACTTTTAAGTTGAGAAACATACAGGAAACTGAGTGGTTAAGAGTAAAACCTGCTACTGGGACATCTGCTATAGATTTTTTAACTTTGCTTCTGAGTCATCCTCAAGCATCTCCACCCCAAAAAGGTATCTAGGACCTGGTAACTCAAGGTAGAGAATCGAGCAAATAGCACATTTTCAATGGACGCACCTCCCCACCTCTGCAACTTCTTTATCCATCTTTTTTTTTTAGCTGTCATCCATCCTGTCCCTGCTTCCTCCATCAGAGCATTTAGCTTTTTTTTTTTTACTTGTGGTGTAATTGGTTGCAAATGACTGATTAATTTAATCCATCAAGCAGATAAGTTACCTCCAGTTTATGCTTATTTTCAAATGAGACTTTTTTTGGCTTTGTATTAAAAGCTTGCCACAACATGAGTTATGCCAGGGTTGACTGACTGACATTTGTTTAAGAAGGGGAACTGTATCTCGCTATGTTCTGCCTAAAATGGGAGCCGACTTGTTGTGCTCTGTAGAGTTATGATTCCATACATCACAGTGAGGGGTTTCTGCTTCCTCTGCTGCAAGGCTGATGTTGAAAACCAGCTCAACAGGCATGACATAGAGCGGAGATGACCCCTGTGTCGTCCCCCCCCCGCCCCGTTTTTCACCGTCTGTGCTGCAGGTTCAAAAGAAAGAGGTGGAGGGAATCACTCCAATATCCTGTTTCTGTTTCTGATCCACAGAGGCTTATGTTTATGTGCCCTCATATGACGGAGGCAGAGCAGAGAAAGGGCAGGGGAAGCTGAGGTTGTTTGTTTTTTTTTGCACGTGTGTACAGGCAGGATTTGTGTGACACATGTAAAGAAGTCAGGGCTTCCTCCTGCTTTGTGTTACACTTTGGGACCTCTTTGCAGCAGCTGCAGGTAGCCTCTTGACTGCCGGAAGACTGAAACTCACCTAAACGTTTAGATTAGGATTGATTATAATACCTTGCTGCAAGTTAACCATACCATATTTATTGGGACCCTGCCTTTCCTCTCCTCATTTAGCTGTGTTTGAAAATGTTATTCACATTTTTATTTGTTTCCATTTTTGTAGAGTTTTGTTAATCTGCACTCTGTGGCCAAAGACAAGAGTTTGGTTCAGTTCAACCATTGATATACAAAACGTGAGCTCCTGCTGCCACATTGTCCGTTTACTACCCAGTTGGTAGGTAGTCCAAGAGAAAACTGTTGAACCTCCATAGTTTTGATCTTTGACATGACCCTTAGAGTGTGTGTGTGTGTTTATTCTTGTTTCTATCCCTTCATTAGGGCCCAATGTAATGAGTGATGTTGTTGGGACCTGATTTTGATTTTATTAAAACCACATCGAGGACATAATGATTAAGAGCACCCTTTTTGAGGTCTAAGATGTGAGTTGATTTGGTGGTATACAGTAAATGGGGGCTGATGCAATGTCCGAAAACGGATAGTTGTGCAACCCTGCCTTCATGTGTTTGAGTGCTCCTGGGAAAAGAGTTCTTAGACACCAGCAACCTTATACAGGAGCTGAGGTCATTTAGAAGGTCCTTTCTGTGACCTTGGGCACTGAGTGAAAGACTAAACACAGTTCTGGCGAAGCAAGTTTTCCCCAAAAAACGGCTCTGGGAGAGCAAGAGTACTTTGGGGATTACCCAGAAGCTTCAGGGTGGGCCTTGCAGTGCAGAGCCTTTGAGATTTTATGGTCCAGCATTCCACTCACTAACTGTTTTATTTCCGTTTTCCTAAGTCCTCTCACACTTTCTCTCCGCCATAGCTCATCTGTTGATTTGAATGTTTATCCCAGGAATAGTTGTTACTATTTGTAAGCACAGAATACAAACTCCCGCATTAACTCCTAAACTGTACTTGAAGCGTAAAAGACTTTAAAATGTACATCTGGGGCTTATGAAAAATGCAATTGGAGGTGGTTTGATCCATGGAAACATATTCTCATATACTGTAGTTCAGTGGGCCAACCGGAACCTTTTAGTTTAAATGTTTACAAGTCGAATTTTCAAATGGCCTTATAAGACTGTGACGAGAGTTCTAAAACAAAATTCAACAGTGAAATTTAGCAGTAAGAGATGGAGGTTTGACTCCATGCTTCAAGTCTCAAAACTTCTCCCCCTACCGTCCACCTGTTTGAATTATGGATTACTCTTTGTAAACGCTGCCCCTGTTTGAGTTGTATGCAGGTTGATCTGCCCTTGTTAGAAGAGTGATGACCCTCTTAAGCTACCTCTTCATCACTGGATGATTCCAATCACTTTATCACAGATGTCACACTGGGGATTAATGGTTGTTCTCCCGTCGCCCGTTGGAAGATGGATGAATGGGACTCTACTCACAGCGACCGTATGCGCCTGTCGTTCACATCAATGAAGTTGTATAAATGCAATCCTATCATAACATCTTTCTTCTTTCGTGCGTCATCATGTATCCGTGTTGGCATTGATCTTGTAGATTGCCGTCACATCATGCATAAACTCTGACATGCACCTTTAGCATCTGGATGCCTAATGCAGAAATGACTAAACCTCCTTAGATCAACAAGATCCATTGATGAGTTCTGCAGTTGGAGGGGCTGAGAGAGTTAGCTGCAATGCTGTCAACCGTCCACATGTTGTTTTTTGCTCAATGTGGTCCTGGCTGGGGGTCGGTTGAAATTATTTGGTGCTCCCCCGTTCAGTTTGACGCACTGGGAGCCATTGCCACTGAGAGCAATGGATCACACACTTACGCTAAGTATGTTTGTCCTAGTTCAGTACATTAAATATCCATCACTGTGCCCATAATTCAGGGATTCTTTGTGCAATTCCACTTCTTTTTGGAGAATTATTGTCAACCTGAGCTGCCAGACATTTTTCCTGGAAAAAGACATGGCTGGTTTTTGACAGTTGTAGCTGCTTTTATGACTCTGTTTTCCAGTGGCTTTGTC